ATAGGCCTAATAAATATATATTTTACTATCCATTTATTTTTGTATAATTTTATAAACATGATCAGCAGCCAGCGCAGACCATTCGAAGTTACAGGTTTCATGAAGTAGGTGACGTGAACACACGTGAAATGGTGAACTGCGCTCCAGCGCACGTGTTTGTACCTAGAAATACCTAGTGACTAGTCATCTATTTAGCATCTGACCTACTTCTGTCTTGGCAGTAATGTATCGAAAATGGAAATAAAACAAACAAAAAATCACAAACATTGTGTCAGCTTCGCCTAAGGTGTACCATGGGAATCAATTTGTGGAAATGTTTCTTTCCACAATTCTAGTTATGCAGCTAAAGAAATAGGCCTAGCAAGTTGAGTGATTTTCTCGGGCTTATGAATATGAAAGAAGCATGAAACGGCTTTTAAAATGTACAGCATGTAATTATAAATTTATTGATAATTTCATATGGAAATATAAATATGAAAACACATATTTCATAATATTATTATAAACATGATCAGAACATATGGTAAAAGGAAACGTACAGACAAAAAAAAACGTATGCGAAACTAATCGACTATACTTATTCCATAAATCTTTATTTGATTCAAGCAGAATAATAAAAATTATATCAATATATATAGAGTATATATATATATATCACAACAAACAATAAAAAAAAAACGTATCTCAAACTCGGTCAACTTCGTAACATCTGCGTTGTTTCTGTAAAAAAATAAAAATAGCACCAAGTGATACAGTAATATAGTAACAATAATAAACTTTAATACTAATATAAAAATAATTGTTAATAAACTAATGTTACAGTAATTTAAATAACGAGTTGGCTGGTTTTTCCTGATAAAAAGTTTGATTTTTATAAATATTTGTTATGTAGTAGTAGGAAGCGTAGAATCGATAACAAAACGAAAAAAAAACCCGTCCGATAAAAGAGTGAAATGGTACTAGGAATGCAACAAACTAGAAAATAACCTATAAATACCATAATATTAATTAAAATTTAGTTTAGTAATAATAGTATTCAATTTATTTGCTTTTAAGTAGCCTATGTTGTTACTTAGTCGAAAGACAACAAAACAAATAAAAAAAAGTATGAAAAAACGATTGACGAACTCACAATGATAATTAGGCCAAGTTATATTAAATTTGGCGTTTTCGCAACTCCATTGGTGCTCCATATATTTGTTGAATACAAACCGCGACCGAAATGAAGCGCGACCGAAACGAGGCGCAACCGAAACGAGGCGCAACCGAAACGAAGCGCGACCGAAATGATCTGTATTCGGCCTAGAGTAGCCTAGTAGTAGTAGGCTACCTAGGCTAGGCCCTAGGCTAGCTAGGCCTTGGCCTACTACTACTGTACTACTAGAGTAACTAGCCTAGCCTATGCCTAGTAGTAGTAGAAGAGTCTACCACCCAGACTGTAAATAGAGTATAGTAGGTCTGTGGTGAGAATATATTCTCCGCACAAAAATTAGGCCTAGCAATCTCTCGCATTTGGAAAAATAAGGGCTGATATCTGTGCAGATTTTGCCGAAAACATGTCATACTTACTGTATAAGCATAGAGATATTGAACTAAAATTAATAAAAAGAATTTGAGGAAGGCAAAAAACATGTTTTATAAATGTCAGTTCGATAAGGGAAGCCTAGCCAGGAATAACATCTATCAAGGAACGAGCATAGGCCTAATTCTGTGTTGAACAAATTCATAGGTAACTGATATAAGCCTATTTATTTGTAAAGAAAGGATAGTGTATATTTTAATAACAAAACGAAAAAACGAGTAACACTTAATTTCCTGATTGTCAGGATATTAAATAAAGCACAGCTGGACTGATTCGTGGCTTAAACAGATTGCATTCAGCCTAAGTACCTGCTACCACCAGCATAGTCATAGCATGATCGAATCCTAATTGGATATTATAAATTTAGGCTTGTGGATTGGGCCTGTTGTTGTGCAGGTTTAAGCTGTTTGCACATTTTGTGGATCACTAACCAGTTTCAAAATTGTCCATGCATTTTGAAAACTCTGCAAAGCTTTGCTTGCACAATTTTCAAATTGTGCAAATGGCTCAAACCCAACTGCACAACAGGCCTACTGTTACGGTAGTCACTTCTTAGCGGTCACAACAGCGAGGTTTTATGAATATGTATTACCACAAACCGTTCGACACGCTCGATCGCTTTATCACTTAGGCTAATGCATAATTTTTAAGGCAAGGCTGCCGCGAAACTTTAAAATGTTGTATCATGTATCGTTCTGTTACATGCGAGACTTCCCCAGAAATGATGAAGATGAATTCCGAGGATGATGGCGATTTTATTCCAACAAAACGTAAATACAGTGCGGACAGTAGGAATAATAATATTATTATCGTAATGGTGAACTCTCAAATTGGCACACGCAATTTCAGCGTATGAGAAGGAAACAATTTCCAAATGTGTCATTGAACACA